CTTAGTCAGATAGGACATTATTATTTCAGTATAATATGGAACAGGTTGGTTAGTGCTTCTAAATGGTCACATACGTTTTGGATTTTAATCACTTTTTAAAAAGTAGCATTATGGGAACTGCCTAAAGATGGTTAAATAATCTTTGTAAGATCTCTATGTTTTCTTTTCCTTGCTCTTTCCTTTTTCTTAGTAGCATTCCGTAATAGTTGTAAATGAAAATTTAAAGTCATATCAGTTAAAATTGGTGTCCTGTGTATGCTAATAATAAAAAATACTATATCACCCATAATTGCCTTATACTATTTTAACTCCAAGGTATTGATTTTTTTGGTATCGATCATTTTTCCATTGCAAAAGAGCTATCTTATTTCTCATTTCATACCTTTGTATTATAGAAATGTTTTTGGCAAATACAGTGAGCACCTAAGTATTCAGACAGTAATGTACTCAAGTATCTTGATAGCTTACATACTTAACTGTCGTAGATTTGGTTCCAGCGCCCCTAGAAACGTGCACTGAATTCAAAAGAAAAATCTTGTTTCTTTTTGTCCAGAGCTTCTCTATTCAACTTAGAATCTGAAAGCTATATAAACTAATAGGAGTTCAACTTAAATAATAAGTTCACAAGTGTATTTTTAACTTGTATGTGGCCCCGTGTTTTGGGGAATATTGGCTTAATGTAGGGTCTGTAAAATGCAGCATTATGTTTCTGATGTTAAGAACAGAAGACTGTATTTTTAAAGTTACAGATTTGTATATAGAACTAAGGCATCTTCATAATGTCTCTATAAGCTGTTGAGGGGAGTTCGGGAGAACAAAAGGAGGAACCAATTAAATAGGACCTTCTAAAAATTGTTAATTTTGTAAACTTTGCTTCTTATTAAGTTATTGTGATTCCTTTTAGTTACTGAATTTTATTTTGAAGATATTTAAATATTGTACTTGTACAAATAGTATGATAAACGCACAGATTATTGCAGTAAATTCTTTTTTAAGCTGGGATATTTGAAATGACAACTTTTGGTTGAATATGTCAGGGTTGCATCAGAACTTTCAAAAATTTGTAGTCTGCAAATTCTTACTAACTGAAGATAAAGGGAGTCAATGCAAATGATTTTTAATCTTTTTTTATTATCTTTTCAGCAATTTATATTTTTTGATTTTCTGCAACCATATTTTTACTTTGTCTTCACAACTGAAAGATGTATAAGGTTTTTGCCAGAAATGTACTGTATACATAGTTTTAAATATAACAGATTTTACTGATATGTAAAAAATTTTGCCATTAAAATAAATGATTTCTCACTGAGAGGAACTTTTCTACAGGTTGGGGGATATGGGAGCTTAATATATCTAATTTAATTTCACTGAAATAAACTCCATTGCTTTTACTTTGATTATATTTTCTCTTGAGATGCGTTTGTAGTTTTTCAGAGTTTTAAATTATTTTATACAAAAAGATGAGAGCACACTCTCCATTCCCCCTTCCCGGCTTTTTGCAGTGCTACCACTTACATGAATGAATGCTTGGTGGACTGTGGACTGTGGCTGGATGGAGAGCTTTGTGCATCTGTGCTCTGACTGGTGCCTTCCGAATAAGAAACAAGTGTGTTGTGTAAATCCTTTCCCCTAACTCTTGTCCATCTTCTCCACACACAGCAGGAAATTTCATTTTCATTGTGAATTCTCCTGACAAGGTGACTGAAATTCCACGTACAACACAACTATACATCGGTGATAGGGTAGAAATCAATCTTCGTAGTACAGTATCTCTGAGATGTGTTCATGTTTGTTTTGACTGGGGTATATTTAAGCATATAATTTAAAATACTTTGATTTTAAAAATGGATGATAAAAACATCATTTTTCATGTTACATTGTGCTTAAATTTTTTAACTTCTGGGAAAGCTAAGAAAAAAAGCACCTATTCATAGCGGACCACCTGTGCATCTTTTTGACAATGTGTCTAAATATAAAATACAGTGCTTAAACACATCTTAGCATTCAAATGTGATCTTTGTCTCAACTAAATTACTGATTTTTTATTTCATCTAAAAACCACCTGAACAAAAAATACTAAGATGAATACAATAAAAGCCAATGTAGTTATCCATTTTCTTTGTTGTCAACATTGGATCTGGTTAGAATTCCACTACTGTTAGAATTCAACTATAATGAAATCTTACATCCCATTATGGCATTATTACGCAGGGCTTGATTGAGCTAGATTGTTGGCATTCTAAATCTTTGACAGTTGTAACAAAACAGTACTAAAGAATGTTACGAATAGCACGTAAGGTTGTTCTTTAGGGAATTTATAAGTTGCTCTAGATATTTATTTTCCCTGACTGTATAAAATTGTACAATAAATTTTCTTGTTTGAAATATCAATATTTATTGAACTGTCCTATTGTAGACAAATAGGCTGTTCTATTTATTGTGAGTGCCAATAAATGGTAACTATGACAAACTTAGAGGATTTCCAGCAACTTGGAAGATGATTATATTGTCAATTAACAGCATGAGAAATGTATTAAATATACTAATAGGAACTTCAAGTTCATAGGCTTACTTAAGTGGTAGGTAGTGTGAAAACTTGGTGTGGGAGGTTGCCTTTACCAGCGTAAAACTATTTGAGAGTTTTAGGAAAAGATCCCTAGAAAGGGGTACACCTTCAAGTACTATTTAATAATTTGCACTGCAACCTATAAGCCCTCAAATAGCTACTATGAACCAAGCACTAAGAATGTGACCATAAGGTATAAACCTGCAGTGAGTGTCTTGTCAGGGAGATACATGTTCTTTAAAGGCTATAGAGGTATGTAACTTAGAAAAGTACACAAATCATAAATATTTGGCTTGATGGATTTTCAGTGTTTTAGGTTTGCAGTGAACATGGCCATGTCAGCTTCTCCCCATATTAAGAAACATGCTACTACCTTTGTGTCTTTCATAATTAATATCAGAAGTTATATACTTCGATATGATACACTTGTATGATATGACAGTATATTCTGGGCAACACCATGAACTGTTTCTCTCGAAGTTAACAGGCTCCATTTGTTTATTTTCAGGGTAAGGTCTATCACATACCCAAGCCTGAATAACCAGCTGGACGGCTGGTTGTTTTTCTAAATAAAAGTTGTATTCCACAAAAACGTATCTCTTTCAGTTTATAATGCAATCTCACAAGTGCTTTTACTTGAGACATCGTACTTCAGTACACGGCAGAAGTACTTTATGAGCTTCAAGGGTCATTTTAATAAAATAAGTTTTACTGCTTCATGAAGGATATAAACATATTTTTAAAAAGATTTTATTTATTTATTTGACACACACAGAGAGAGAGAGATCACAAGTAGGCAGAGCAGCAAGCAGAGAGAGAGGGGGAAGCAGGCTCCCCGCTGAGCAGAGCCTGATGCAGGGCTCGATCCCAGGACTCTGATATCATGACCTGAGGAGAAGGCAGAGGCTTTAACCCACTGAATCACCCAGGTGCCCCAGTGAAGGATATTCTTGAGTGGTCTTTTTTTTGGGGGAGGGGGGTACTATGAGTGTGATGGAGAAGAATACAAGGACAGCTAGCAGAGTTTGGTATCATTGCCTTGATGGCTGAGCTGCCATCAGTTTTACACGCCACTGCTTTTCAGTTACCAGTGCAATGTCAACATTGTGAAAAGGCAAATGATGTCTTACTGTGAACAGGAAGATAATTTGAAAAGGTCTTGGCAACCCTCGGGGATCTGAGGCTTACTTCAGAGCATCATTGTTCCACAACAGCGGTTCTCAACGGGGCAGGGGTGGGGGAACGATTTTCCTTCCAGGGACCTCTGGCAGTGACTGGAGACAATCCCGGTCGTCACAACAGGTGGTAGAGGTGGTGGGAGTGGATGCGAATGGAATCGAGTGGGTAGATTCCAGGGATGCCGCTGAACATCCTACCCCGCACAGGAGACCTCCCTTTCCCCAACAAAGATGATGCAGTTTGAAATATAACGCTGAGGTTGAGAAAGCCTGGTCTACAGAAATGATCTTCCTTTGCACAAGATAGCTACATCGGTAAGTCAACAATCCTAATTTTTCAATTTCCTAAACAGTTCTCTGCGTTACATTTTCCCACTTAATTATTTTCAAGACCAACCACAGCTACTTTCAGGTTATACTTCTTATGGGCCCAACTAACCTGTTTTTTCCAACGTGAAGCCTACAGTTGAACCACGGGCCTCTCTCCCCGACCTGCTCCCCTGGACTCCTTTCCCATGGAGTTTTGCTTCTGTCCTTTGTGTCTGGCCGGTCTCTTAGGGAGGCTGTAAAGTCCTTTAGGGCAGGGTCCTATCGTAATGGGATGAAATACTCCCAAATCTTTTCCCCCAGCCTCGACTGTTTCACCGGCGTACTGAACGGGGCGCGCAGTCTGGCTGGGGCTGCCTCTAGTTTCCCGCGCTCACGCACTGCGGTCTTCCGTGCGCCAGACGCTCCCGGCTGCTACTAGAGGGCGCTCGGGGCGCGGGTGGCTCAAACTACAAATCCCAGAGGGTAGTGCGGTGGGGACGGCCGCAGTGACCTCTGGGATTTGTGGTCCCGAGAAAGGGATTGGCAACCACAAGGGCTCTGAGAGTCGCCTCTTCCCTGCCCGTCTCTCGGCGTGGTTCCGAGGCCCCGGGTCGGCCAGGTCAGTTTCTTGGGAGACCTGGCGCCAAAGGCAGGCCGGTAGGAGGTCCGGCAGGGTAGCTTCCGGTTCCGGTGGGTAAAGGCAAACACAATGTAAACACGGGCCCAGGGGAGTGGTCATCAGGTAAGTGGGGTTTACGCTGACCGTGGTAGAAGCTGGAGGAAGAATTCTAAACAAGGCTGGTGCGTCTGGAGGTTAGGGGAAAAAGGAGCTTCAGACGTCGGAGTTGACACCCAACAGGGGTGTGGGCAGAGCGGGGACGCTAAGGTTGATCTCTGGAGACGAGCAGTTCCAGGGGGTCAGGCCCTCCCTTACGCCTGCGTCAGGAGCGGCTTCCGCGTCTCCACGGCGGCCGGGGCGGCTTTGACCTTCGCTTAGCGGTGGGAGGAGCGGACCCGAGCTTGATTCCCCACCCCGCGATGGGGGTGTCTGCAGCTGAGCACGGCCTGGTGAACTCGCGGGTGAAGTCCAGGGCAGCCTTTATGAACTTCTCACGGGGAGCTTGCTAATACAGGTTTCTCTGTTACGGTGCCATTTTCGGGTAAATTGCTTCTTGAATTTCTTACCTCTGAGTACATCCCGGTACCCGAAGAATGCTGTTTCGGTTTCCTCAGGGTGTTCATCTGGCGGTTTCTCGTCTTAGGTGCTGCATCCTCCAGTGCAGTGAAGACATGCATTCTGGGCTTGTGGCTGGGAGAGCTGTCCAGCCGTCCACAGTAATTGAATGCCTGCTGCAAGGATCGTTGGACCAACAGAAGAATTTAGAACCCAGCTTTGTTGTTTAGAGTTTTCATGGTGTTCATTAACTATAAGTCTGTATAAAATGAATTTGTGTTGTTTCATGAGTTTAACGTGAAACCTATATGATTATGATTTACCCATATGACCTTTTATCTAGGTGAAAAAACGTAAGGGCTGGGATGTTGGCGCCTTGTGCATCTAACTATAGACTCAGGAAAGCCTTATTTATAAGAAGTTTTAATTTGACATTCAGATAACCTTAGAGGAACAACAAACTAGTACTAATTAAGATACCTGAATCAAGTCTGAGTGTTCAGTTTTTCAGATGAGAGACTGTTTTGCATATATCCTAGGACTCACCCTCCTTTTAAGGCTGGCCAACTTTTATTTTTCAAAACTTAACATCCTCCCCTCCAGGACGCCTCAAGTGTCTCCATTGAAGTCATAGTATCCTTTGTTTACTCTCTAATAACACTTATTCTGGAGTGTATTGACTCTACTCTTGTCGTCTCCAGACAGTTTTGAAGAAAATACAAAGCTCTGCTAATGGTCTTGGTAACAGATTCATGCTTTTTAACCTCGAGTGGGCCCCTGATACTGTTTGCTATCTTTATTCATCCCTTACTGTTGCTTTTCCTGTTTTCCCATTCTCCATAGTGACTACTTTGGAACTTTTCTATTCTTCTCAAGTACTCAAAACTGTTTCTTTTCCCTTTACTTGGAGCTGCCTATTTCTCTGGGAAATGTGAAGCTTAGGGATAGGAAATCCTTCATGATTTTTTCCCCCTATCCCTGAACTTGCCTGTGCTTTTCACTAAATATTAACTCTTGTCTGAGAGGAATGTATTCTTTTCTCTCTCTTCAAGACTAAACTTGTCAACTACTAGTGGTCATCAGGCCTTTTATACACATGTAACCTCATTCTCGCCTGACCTCCACAGCCTCTGACCTCTAGAAGAGCTTAAAGGATTTGTGGAGGAAGATGGCAGAAATACCCAAGGCAGTGTTGTGTGTGACTTTTTCCATACATGGTTGAGAACCTCCATTTGGGGTCTTAGCCTGTCCCTGTCTTTGACATTTAGAACAATGGTTTGGGTTGAAGGTCTCTCTGTTCCTTTTTCCTTCCCTCTCCATCTTAACCCCTGCTCCCAATAATATATAGACCCGACTGATGATTTTTAATGTAATTTCCCTACATAAATATACCAAGTTTTCCTCTGTTAATGGGGTTCCCACATTACCTGGTTCCTCACATTGCTGATTTAGAAACACAGTTCCATTTGGAAACTTGAAGCCAGAAAATGTAATTGTCCTCATTCTTGTCATAGGGACAATTATAAACACTAGAGTTCTTATCTAGGTATATTAACCTGGTATCTTATGAGACCTTCCTATTGATTTATTCTTTTACACTGTCTTAACTCTGTGCCTGTGGGCTTCTGTTCCAATGTAACCACACTTCATTTTGAGTCATTTCTTGGTTCTTCCCCTAAGTTACTTAAAGTCCTCTTCAAACATAGGAAACTCATATATTATATATATCATATAATACATCTCCTATATTATAACGGGTCTGGGAAGAGAGTTTGGCATTGTCCTAATTCCCCACTGTAGCTTAGAATACATTACTCCTCTGGGCTTTTTGAAAAATCCCGGCTCCAGTGGAAAGCATGTGGTTCATGTGTATCTGCCTATGCATTTCTTGATTGCTACAATTTATTGAAACTTCCTTGTATTCATTAGAACTTAGGCACATGACCTGTAATTTTTTTACCCCTCCAAGTTCTCCCGTTATCTTGGGCCTTTCCATGTGAATAACTTCATAGTCCCTTTTACTTTTTTGTCCCCTTTCTTCTATTGATTACTTGTATTTTAGTTCAGCCATGTGCATCGGTGATGAAGACCTTGACATGTGCTAGAACTTATTCATTATTTCATTTCTCTCTCTCCCTTACTCCCACAATGCCCATTCTTTGATAGTGTTTATAAACACCTCTGCTTCATGGCTTTTCCTTATGCCCCTAGTTGATTATAATCACCTCAGGGTTTAGACTCCCTTAAGAATGGAATGAAAGCTTAGACACTCTTCTCCAGAATGCACACATAGAAAAAAACGTATATACAATTCCAGGAATTTCTCGGTGTCTTTAAGCTCATCCATGCACATAGTAAGAGTTCTTGAATTCCTCAGTAAATCCCTTCTCTAAATACATAATTTGTTGAGTGCTTCTATGGTTTTCTTTAATTTTGTCTCACCAATTGTCCTTTCTTTCTATCCTTTACATTTGTGTATCATTGCTGATTTACAAAACAGCTCAACGTGTATTATCTTTTAGATTTACCCAGTAGTTCTGTGAATTAAGTTATTTACCAAGTTTGACTCTTTTAAAAACTTTTTTATTGTGGAAAATTTCAAACGTATATGAGAAAGGAAAGTATAAGAAATCCTGTGTATGTATGACCTAACGTTACCAATTATCAACCCAGAGCAATCTTTTCATCTATATTTCTCCTCTGTTGCAACCACACCCCTGGTTATCAGTTTGAAAATAATTTCTAGATATCATTTAATCTCATGAAATATTTTAGTATATATTCCTAAAAGATAAGTATTCTTTTTGTAAACATTAATTATAATAGTATTATCATACCTTAAACAATAGTGATAATTCCTTGATATCATCAAATATCAAATCAGTGTTCTGGTTTCCTCTATTATTTCATAAATATTTCCTCCCCATTGGCATCTTTGAATCCAGAGCTAAACAAGATGCATAGGTTTTATTTGGTTAGTATGTCTCTGAAGTCTCTTTTTAATTTCCCATCTTTCTCTTTTTTCCTGGAAGTTTGTTTCTTGAAGAAACCAGTTTTATTTTTCTTCATTTTTTTAAATTTGCTGTCTTCATCTCCAACATGTTATCTAGCATGCTCATCCACATCACAGGTTTCTTATAAACTGGTAGAATTTGGTATGCTCAATCTGATTCAGAATTAGTTTTTGACTTCATAGGTCCAACATTTGTGACCTTCATAGGAACTTCATTGGTGGTATGGCCCTTCCACTGGGAGATACTGTCCAGTTGGCTTTCTTTATGATGTTAGCAACCTTTGTTGACTATTGCCTTGATCCACCATTTAATTAGGAGTTCAAAAAGTGGTGCCAGTCTGATTCTGTTATCCCTTTTTCACCTGTTATTTGGAGAACTTCTATAAAAGGCCAAGTTTGAATTTTAAAGCTGTTTCTTTGTAATTTCCCAGAATGGCTTCCTTTGGATGGAAGAGGAAAATTGGTGAGAAGGTCTCAAAGGTGACTTCCCAGCAGTTTGAAGCTGAAGCTGCCGATGAGAAGGATATAGTTGAGAATGAAGAAGGGAACTGGCTTCATGCCATTAAACGAAGGAAAGAAATGCTTTCTGAGGGTTGTGCTGAGAAGAGTAAGCAACTGAAGGATGAAGGAGCCAGTTTGGCTGAAAATAAAAGGTATGTTTTTAGAGAACGGTTTACATTTCTGTCAGTGATGAGATGAAGAGCTATGAATTCTATAAATTCAAGTCTTAAAATTCTGATCTAGATGCTAAATTAATCAATTAAATAAGTTTTAAAGACACCTTTAAACATTCCCGTGGAGTCTGAAAGTTTGTAGAAGAGTCTCTAAGATGCTTGGAATGTCTGCTTTGCCATCGTTTTTGTTTTTCGTTTTTTTTTTTTTTTTTTTTTTTAAAGATTTTATTTATTTATTTGACAGACAGAGACCACAAGTGGGCAGAGAGGCAGGCAGGGAGAGAGAGAGAGGGGGAAGCAGGCTCCTGCGAGCAGAGAGCCCGATGTGGGGCTCAATCCCAGGGTCCTGAGATCATGACCTGAGCCGAAGGCAGAGACTTTAACCCACTGAGCCACCCAGGCACCCCGCCATCGTTTTTGTTTTGTCTGAAGAAGAGTAAATGCTGAGTAAAATGTAATCAACATTCTTGGTTGGTAGGATAGTTTAATTTCTGAAAACTTTCTCCTTGTGTTATTATATACCAGACAAATTGGGTGTTTCCTGAAGGGCTTTGAGGGCATGTACTTTTTTTTTTTTTTTTAAAGATGTTCAGTTATCCTTTTTCATTGGCTTTTATGTGTACTTCAATAAACATGGTTGTGCATAGGAATTTGATAATAATTTCACTTATCTTCAGCCTTTATTCAGCTAAGCACTTATGCTTTTGCTGTTTACCCTTTACCTTTTTCTGTTTTCCTTTTTTTCCTACATTCTTGTTCCTTTTCCCCTGTTTCTGGTTAGGTCTTTCTATGGGACCAAAAATCATTCTTTCACAAATCAGTGGGGACTGAACCCATTGGCTAGGAGATTCTATAGAGAAAGCTGGAATTCTCTATATGGGAAAAGAAAATGGTCTGTATCTAATACCACATTCAAATATGGACTCTAGAGAGCCAAAAAAACCTTAGTGTGCAATGTAAAACTACACAGTTAATGAAAGAAAATATGGAAGGGTATCTTTATAACCTAGAGGTGGAAAAGGACATGTGTATTTTTAAAAATTTCAAATCTACATTAGAGTTAAAGTAATAGTTCAACCCCTATATTCCCACTAGCTAGACAAAAAATTCCTATTAACTGCTCTATTTTATCTATTTCTATACATACATATACATACACTGACATGTAATTATAAATTTACAGTTTTTTTTTGTGATGTCTGAAAGTAAGTTGTAGACATGACACCTCTCTCCTAATTTAGCATGCTTTTTATAAGAATAAGGATATTTGGGGGCACCTGGCTAGCTCAGTAAAACGTGCAGCTCCTGAGCTGTAGGCCGTGAGTTTGAGCCTCATGTTGGGTATAGAGTCTACCTAAAAAAAAAAAAAAAAAAAAAAAGGGCGCCTGGGTGGCTCAGTGGGTTAAGCCGCTGCCTTCGGCTCGGGTCATGATCTCAGGGTCCTGGGATCGAGTCCCGCATCGGGCTCTCTGTTCAGCAGGGAGCCTGCTTCCCTCTCTCTCTCTCTCTGCCTGCCTCTCTGTGTACTTGTGATCTCTCTCTGTCAAATAAATAAATAAAATCTTTAAAAAAAAATAAGAATATTCACTTACTACACACTGTAACTATCAAAGCTGTGAACATTAACAATTCAGTAAACCAATACGCAGTCCACATTTAGATTTTTCTGATTTTCATTGAAATGTCTTTTACAATTTGTTTTGTTTTGTTTTTAAATCGGGATCCAGTCAGAGTTCACACATTCATTTCATGGTTATAGCTCTTTAGTGTCTACTTAGGTCCCCTACTTTATCCCCCATGATAGTGACTTTTTTGAAGAGTCTAGACCAATTTTCTATTTAATTGTTCCTTATGGATGTCATTTAACTTGTTCCTCTATTTCATGTGTTTCTTGTCAACTGAGGTATGGAGATTTGATTTCAATTCTGATTGACTTTTCGGCAAGAGTACTTAATAGATTTGTACTTTCTATTGTATCATATTGGGAGAGAAGTAACATCAGGTTGTCATCAATGCAGCCATTTGAAAGACGTCATGCCTATGTCAGTTTACTGTGTTTAATATCTGCTGAAAGTCATATTTTAATAAAAATCTTGAAATATTGGAGTGCCTGGATGGCTCAGTCGGTTAAGCCTCTGCCCTCAGCTCAGGTCATGATCTCAGAGTCTTGGGATTAATCCCTGCATCAGTCTCCCTGCTCAGCAGGGAGTCTGCTTCTCCCACTCTCCACTCATGCTCTGTTTCTCTGATCTCTCAAATAAATAAAATCTTAAATAAAATCTTGAAACATTTATCCTTGGGGAATGAAATATATTAAGAGAATTATACTAGCCAACATGAGGAGTGGTTGTTTTTTTTTTTTTTTTTTTATTTGCACTAAGGATATTATTTGGAGAAGATATATGTATGGTCGGCAGGAGTAGTATCTGAATAGGTCTGAGTTTAGGACAATACCCTTCAGGTCATCCAGAGATCTAAAATCAGGCCTGTGTGCCTTTGACTGGTAACTTCCATGTGGTAATGAAAAATTTGAGAAATTAAAAGTAGTACTGAAGGGCACCTGGGTGGCTCAGTGGGTTAAGCCTCTGCCTTCGGCATAGGTCTTGATCTCAGGGTTCTGGGATCAAGCCCCGCTTTGGGCTCTCTGCTCTGTGGGGGGCCTGCTTCCCCCTCCCTCTCTGCCTGTCTCTCTGCCGGCTTGTGATCTATCTCTCTCTGTCAAAAAAAAAAAAAAAAGCAGTACTGAACAAAAAGCAGTTTTCTTCTCTTTGTTCTTTTTTTCTTCTTCTTTAATTAAAATTGCTCAGGGTGGGTGTAAGATTCCTTGTTAGTCATTTTTGTTGTGAATTAGTCAGATTTGAAGAAACAACATTTTAGTTTCTAGCTCTGTTTTATTTTTGATTTTAGAGTAATCTTTTATTAATATATTTTAATATAAAACATCAAATGGTGTCTAGACTATAGTATATTAGCACCTCAAATTGGAAATGAATGATGGAAAATAAATAACAATCAAGGACAATTAACATGTTATATTCTGAATCCTACTTCTGATATTTTAGGCATAAAAAGCTTTCTTTTGGGGTGCCTGGGTGGCTCAGTTAAGCGTCTGCTTTGGCTTGGGTCATGATCCCAGGGTCCTGGGGTCAAGTCCCATTTCCAGCTCCCTGCTCAGTGGGGAGTCTGCTTTTCCCTCTTCACTTCCCCCTGCTCATGATCTCTCTCTCAAACTTGCACTCTCTCAAAGAAATAAAATCTTTAAAAAAAAAAGTTTTTGGGGCACCTGGGTGGCTCAGTGGGTTAAGCCACTGCCTTCAGCTCAGGTCATGATCTCAGGGTCCTGGAATCGAGCCCCGCATCGGGCTCTCTGCTCAGCGGGGGGCCTCCCCACCCCGCCCCCCCGCCTGCCTGTCTGCCTACTTGTGATCTCTCTCTCTGTCAAATAAATAAATAAAATCTTCAAAAAAAAAAAGTAGAACTTTTCAAGATTGACCATTCTTAGAAGAAAACCCACTATAAATTTTCCACATTTATGAAATCATTTTCAGAACATCGATAAAACATCTTTAGAAATTCCTGTAAGTGCCTGTTAAAAGTTCATTAACTTTGTTTATGCCTTTTTCTCTAGACCACACTAGTGTGCAGGAGGGAAAAGCTATTCAGTTATTACCATGGGAGTCCCTCTGAATTTCCTGTGGTACAAGGGAGATAGTAACTCTGTAGATAAACAAAATAACTCTTGTTTTCTGCCTGCATGTCAAAACATTGAGTCATTTCACTGAAATCAGCTGGGTTCGGTGCTTTATTTTGAATGGAGAACACTGCGAAATGATTGTGTATTTTTGCTGGTCAGCATTTGTTTTGGAGTAATATATACACAGCTTTAGAAGATAACTAAACAGAATAAAAGGGATCTAATGGGATTGAACAGTTTGGCTACTCTGTGCCAAAACTAAATAGAAATAATAGTTTAAAAAGACCTAAGATAACATTAAACTTGATTTAAGTAATATGAGGAGTAAAAAATAATTCGAGGAGGAATAGTGAAGCTAAATTAAAAAACAAAAAAACAAAAAAATAGGGTCACCTGGGTGGCTTAGTTGGTTAAGCTGCTGCCTTCAGCTCAGGTTATGATCCCAGAGTCCTGGGATCTAGTCCCGCATTGGGCTCCTTGCTCAGTGGGGAGCCTGCTTCTCTTTGGGGCACCTGGGTGGCTCAGAGTGTTAAGCCTCTGCCTTTGGCTCAGGTCATGATCTCAGGGTCCTGGGATCGAGCCCTACATCGGGCTCTCTGCTCAGTTGGGAGCCTACTCCCCTCTCCCCCTCGACCTGCCTCTATGCCTACGTGTGATTCTCTCTCTCTCTCTGTCATATAAATAAATAAAATCTTTCAAAAAACAAAACACTACAGAACCTCAGTGCCTGTCTTCTGAATCAACTTCATCTTAAAGCATTTTCATTATCACTACATTTTAGCAACACTGGCCTTCCTTGTGTTTTTGAACAAAGTTTTTATACAACTTTGTCCTATGATGCTCTGTCGGAAAAGCTCTTATCTTCTGTTTTCTAATTTCTCTCTTCTTGTCCTTCTGATCTACACTCACATGTGATCATATCCATGAGCCCCTCTCTGAGCATCCAGTTGGAGATAGTACCCCCAAATTAGAACAGTTTGTGGCACCTATCAGACCCTCAAATGAAGCTGTAAACGTAATGAAATTCCGGTCAAAATCCAGGCAGGCTTGATTTTGTAGTAATTGACAAGCTTATCCTAAAATTCATAAGGAAATGGGAAGGATCTAGACTGGCCAAAATAATTTTATGGGCCAAAAAATATGTAGAGAACTTAACGCTACTTTATTGCATCAGCACATTCTTGAATGCTGTGCCTTAATAGTGTTAGTGTAAGAATGGACATCTACAGATCGTGAAAAGAATATAAGGTGCAGAAATTACTCACATTTATGTGGTAGTTGAGCA